ACCCTCATCCACCCGCCCCCACCTTCCGCAACGATCCACCCGTGCAACCTTCTATTCTCACACCCTGCAACAGCCACCAAGATACCGTTTCTTGCTCGCAACGCGCGGAGAAGAGCGAGAACAGCCTGCCGTGAGATCACCACCTTACCCGCCTTGGACCGCGCCACGAGCACCTACGCCGCCGGAATACGCTTAAGCCGAAAGAGGAAGCCGGCTCTTCGTGTTTACGTGGCAAGTAGAGATGGCATCGAGTATCTCGCAAAAATTTTCGAAGCTTCGGCCATTGGATTCATAGACGCGTTTTTTTTGGGGGGGGGGGGCGGGGGATGATTATTAACTGCTAAAAAAGAACTTCTGAAGAACGAGCCGGCAATACATCGTTAAGCTCGGGAAATCTTCGAGAACGTTACAGGTGGACAATCTTTATGTATGACGAAAGTCTTGTCCGACTTGACGAAGCATGTTCCTGTTTTTTTTTCTAATTTCAAATGCTTGGAAAGAAACGAATCGCAACTATATCTATGCAAGCGGTATCGCTTTCCGTTCGTTCGATCGGATTACTTCAACAATATTAGTATTCTAATCTCCACGATGTTTTCTTCCTATCTACTACTTCTGAAAGTTCCGAATTTTCGAACCTGTAAGTGTAATACATTGCAAGTGCACTCATTTTTACATTTGAGTAATATTTGAAATCCACGAAGCGAAACTGACGTGTCGAACTTGACTCGAGTTCGTAAACGTATTAGACTTGATCCCATCCCTATTCACGACACACATAGCAGCTTCTCTACGCGCTGCTTCACACTTCTAGGCATACCTACATGCACAGAGGATACATGCACACAGAGAGAAGCGTGAAGTAATTATATGAGGGTGGGGCACGCTACGGACTCGTCCACACTTAGGCGCATCCGTTGGATCTGCTCGGAACGTGAGAATCGTGCATCGATATTCTGCGCTTCGAACCAGAGTCGTTCGTTGTTGGAGAATCTGTTGCGACACGTTGCGTGCAAGGAAAATTGGAGTGTGCGAGATTTAAGATAATTTTGGAAATCTCTCCTGCGGTGGATGAAAGAGTTTTCGTGGATGGAGAATCTCTTGAGTTCTTGCGGTTGCATGCAACGGTTTCATCAGAGAAAGTAAAGGTAGTCTTTTACAATAATTTAATAGAATCGAGAAAAGAAAATTGCTATAGCTGTACAATTACTGAATTTAGTGTAACGGCCTTTGATCGCAATTATTTGTTAATTAATAACATCAGTAAATTGATATGCTGCAAATTGTAAACGACAGAGTCTTCGTTAATACAACAAATAGACATTTATAAAATTCTCTTCTCTAATTTATTACTGGACTGCGGATCTTTGTGTGTTTGTAGGAAAATGAAAGATACAAAAATTTATGCAATAATAAAATACCTGAAAAGAGTAGAATATTTATTATAACATATATGTGGTAGACGAAACAAATCTATAAAAATCCGTAGTTTATCTATTACCATTGCTCGAGACTACTTAAGCTAAATTTTATATGTGTATATTTCGCCTGTTTTATTACCAAATTTGCACAAATAATACTATTGTTTAATCGTATAAAACGATCCATCCGTTCTTCTTTCTCTATCCGTTTCTAAATTTCATCGTGACACTCACATTTTAACGACTTTTTAATTGCTCCATGTTCCCAAGCAGAGCTCATCCGTCTTCGGGAATCCATCATTTCGCGGCGGAATGCTAAAACGTTCGTGGAACAAACGAATTGAATAAGAAAGACCGACCGAAAGGGGAGAAGTTATACGTTTAAGCGGGGATACGCCTGTATAAAGGGATGGGGAGGCTTACTGGGATTCAATTACCGCAACGTTTGCGAGGCACGCTATTCCCACACCCCCCTGAGAAGCACTACCCTTCGCGGTGATGCGCGCAGCCTCGCCGCCACCTTTCCATTTCTTCAAGAACGAACAGGTGCTCTCGCGTCTGCTGTAAATTGCGCCCCTGTAATCCGAGGTAAAGCGGTCGTTTTATCCGCGCCAGGGCCAAGATGGATGCTCGCTACGTCTTTCGGTAATAGGTCGCGCCTTACGCAGACGAGGCTTTCCATCTTTGATGGAAATCTCGAGGGTCCTTAAAACCTCGCGCCAGTCCGACGCGTCGTTCGAACCTCGTTGTCTTCTCCCTTTAATCGAAGTCGTTCCTCAACGGAATGTGATTCACAGGCTGGTTTGTGACAATTACGCCGTAATTTTATCAAATTGAGAAAAAGAGCGTATCATGTTATAAAATTGTATGTAAAAAATCGAATCGTTTTCGTTGTTCTATTTAATCGAGGCTTTCTTCTATCACAATTTGTTTTGAAATAAGTTTCATAAGGATCTGACAATACTTGACAGATTATCACGGTACAAACCGACTGCGAGATTGACATTTCGAGTGAGAAACTGAAGATTCGTCGTCAGCGAGATTCTTGGGTTTATCCATCCTGACCGATAATCATCGCCACCCTTCTGAATTACAAACCGATCAACTCCTAACATTCATGGCAGGAGACCTAATCCTGGAAGAAACAAGAAGCCGAAAAACGGATTGACGTTGTACGACGAGGAAACGCGAACGATGCTTGTGGTGGACGTGATCAAGAGGGTGGCAAAGCAAGGAAAAGCGCGATGCGTGAGGTCACTGGCAAAGTAGCGGCGAGCGGATCGCACGGTGGCCGCCGCGTTTCGTTCGGGTTCGAACGTAGGTACATAATTCATCGAGCGTGCACCATTGTCGAGAGCTTCATTAATACAAATGGCGTCTGGTGAATTCTGCCCCGACCACACCCCACGTCGTGCACGATGGTGTAACAAGGCCAGTGTGGGTGTATAAGGCTAGCGAGCAAGCAGTAGCAGCCGTCGGCGGCGGCGGTGGTTCTCGCTACCAGCGCGAGGGCATCGTCATCCCCCTCGAGCAGCGTGTGTAGGCGAACACACGTTCTCTCCTTCTCTCTCTCTCTCTCTCTCTCTCACTCTCTGTCTGTCTCCTTTGCGTCGCGAGCAACGGCGGCGGTCGTCGCCACCCTCGAGAGCCAGAGGACGACGTCGAGACGCGCGGACATATTTTTCCAGCGCTTGTCGACTTTCATGAGGGCGTCTTTCCGCAATAACATATTAATATCGCGGGGCATCACGAGACTTATAGGCTGCCGTAGAAAGCTCGACCCTGGATCAACGCAGCGTGCCCGTTAAGGCGGATCCACGAAACAGGACCGCTGCTAGAACGTCGTGGCTTTAAGCGTCGTAAAGCAAGCGTTGCACGTTCGGCCGAGCGGACCGGGCTGCGCCGGGTTATCAGCCAGGAATTGACAACGATTCCAACAACGAAATATCTTCCTCGTTTTACCAACTACCCTTAAGTCGTGTCGCCGGGATTTATCGCCGGGATCGCGGCCGTTCTTTCTCTTTCTCTTTCCTTTCCTCCTTTCGCTTATATTTCTTCTCTCCTCGCCCTATGTTACATAACCGCCGAACGAACACTGTTACGTAATCGAGAAAGACGAAACCGTTCGCGGTATGGTATTGCTCTGCATAGTATGTGCATGAATGATCGCTGTTCGATAGAGTTTTCCGTTGGAATTTGCAATGACGACGGCAAGCGATTCTTCTTCGAACGGAAGATTCGATTGACGATTGAGAATGAAATACGTATGCGTATGCAATATGTATATGTATTAGATTGTTGCGTGAACATCCGCGTGACGATTGAAAATTTCCGCGAGTTTATTAGGATTGAAGTCTGCTGAATTCTCTCTATTCGTGACTATGAATTGAAAAGCGAAGGTGTTGGCTCGCAACACTAACACCGGGATCTCGGAAAGATACTAAGCTCGGAAGAACAGGCAAAACTTTAAATTAAAATGTAATAATCGACCAAAGACGTCGATTGTGACAAGTGTGGAATTCTCTTGCAAGATGCGTCGAATTCAGAAAGTCAAAGTCCAATTCGTATTTATTAACTTTGTTACATCACTGATTTCGTTATTTCATCCGCGGCAATCTAACACACGTATACATATGTACATTTCCATTCGGGCTACAGTGGGAAAAAATGAAAAAAAAAAAAAAAAGCGACGGAGGAGGAGAAAAAAAAAGCTGCTACTTTCCCGTGAACAACAATGGAACGGCGCATACGGTCACGCGAGTAGGGAAATATTACGGGAAACACGGATCGCCGGAAGGAGGAACGCAGGAGAGATTCACAGATGGATTGGTACACGGCCAGGGCCGCAGGCAAAAAAAAAGCGAAAACACGCATAATTCAAGTTTACATCGCATTTATTTTGTTCCTTTTTTTTTCCTTAGTAATCGTATAATCAAGGTAATATTACAATCAGCGTTCAGAACAGCAACCGCCCCCTACGACAGAGCATCATCTCTCACCGGGTCTTTTTCCTTCGTTTCAACGCAACGCGTCTTGCACGTAGGCAGGCAGCTGCGACCCTGGTCGCCTCTCGCGGGCTACAATTACAATCAGGATTCGACAAAATCGGGTAAAACAATCGATAACCCCTAATATGTTACAAAAAGAGGATGCTGCGTGTTTGTGTTGTGTGTGTGGGTGTGTGGGTGTGTGTGTGTGTTCTCCGTTTCCTTTCTGTTTCTTCTTGCCACCATCCGGAGAAAAAGAAGTTACGTCTACAGGGGACGAAGAAAAAGAAAGAAAAAATAAAACAAATCGACGACAACGATTGCGGCTACCACTACGCATGGATAACGCCTACCCCTATTATAAGATACAGGCCTACTCGCCTAACGAAAGAAAGGAGAAAAAAGGAAATCGATATTTTAATACGTTACAGCACAGCAGAGCGACGAATGCGTTCGTTTCTATATATATATATATATATATATATAACTTTCTTTTTATATTCACTCGTTCCAACATTCCTCGTTTCGTTTCATTTTTTCTTTTTTGTCCTTTTTAATCTTTATTTTCTTTTTTTCTTTTTTCTTTTTTACTCATTCTTCCCGTCTTATTCACCGAGATCCACAAAATAAATAATTATTAACATTACATATTCCTCTTAGAAATACTGCGTTTACCTATTATTCCTTGCGTGTCTCTTAGCGGCTATTCGTATACATTCATTAACTAGAATAGTTGTTTTATTTGCTTAGGATAGCGCCACGTACACTTTGTGTCTGGGTAGGCGTCTATAGGTACTAGGTAGGTACGGTACAATGTAATAATCTTGCTTCGTTAGAGTCTATCTTGCTTAGGAGAGTTTCCGTTCGATTCTGTTCTGCTTGAACGGAGTGTCGGTAGGAATCGAGACGATTCGCGGATAAGGGGAGGGAAAAGAAAGGGAGAGAGTGAGAAATGATACACGAATACAGCGAAAGAAAAAGGAATAGTTCGAAGGAGAAGGAATCTGTCTGCACCTCCAATTCCTTTTTTTTTTTTTTCTTTTCTTCTTTTGCCTTTTTTCTCTTTCATCCCTCGGGAGAGGGAAAACAAAAAGCTACATTCGACTCGCGAGAGGAACGCGCGCGCGCGCGTTGCTCCGTATCGAGCGCCCGATATTACACCGCATAAACTGTTCTATATATAATATTTAACAAAATTATCGAACATCAACATATATATTTTGTACCGATCGAAAGAACCACGTTTTCACCGTGCGCCGAGAGATCATCAGGATCAGGATACACTGTCATCTTAACAGACATAATTGCCGTTGGCCTCTTTCTCATCGAAAGCGGTAAGCCGTGCTCGAAGAACAGCGGGAATTACACGCACACACGGCGACGGTAGAAACGTGTTCTCGTGTCGTTTCGCAGACAATAAAAAAAAAAAAATTAACAAAAACATAACATCAACAGCAGTCATATATATAGCATAACACGCTCCGGAAAGCGAACGCGCGTGATCAAAAAGCGAAACAAACGGAAGAACGCTAAAAGTAAAACGAAAAACGGAGAGGGGGGGGGGGGTGTAGAGGAAGGGAGCATTCGCGATAGTTTTAAACTAAGTTTTCTGTACAATCGATCCACGAAACAAAGAATTTCTCTTTCTCTTTTTTTTTCTTTTTTTTTTATTTCGTCGCCGATAAACGAAATACGTGAAATTGAAATATTCGCCCCTCCGCACCCCCTCCCCCCGCCCCCCTCCGATCCGTTTCGAGGATCTTGCCGATCGTCGCGTCGACACGATACTCGGGGATACCTTTGTCCGCTTCCTAAGCGTTTCACTTACTATATTAGTACATCTTCTTAGCCTTTTCGTTACGTATTTAGGTTTCGGAGTATATCGCGCGCACCCCAACGCTCCCATCGTACCTCGTGAAGTGTGTTTCAATAATCCGAGAGACAACGAGACGACGAAAGACGTCCGATAGGGAGACCTTCGAGAGAGGCATACGCACCACACGTTTGCCCGAAGTCGGCTCTTGCTCCTCTCGCTCTCGTTTCTTTCGACGCGTTCTCGAGAGCGCGGGTATCGTCGTCTCTCGCGTCGATCATTCACCGCTGGAAAACGAGAGACGGACGGAGATCGGTTGTTTCCACGGAACGGAACTGCAACTCCGTATAACTCACCCCCTCTATCTACACACTACTGCCGCCAAAAGCAGGGACTACAGATAGAGAGGCCAGAAAGGGGGAGGGGGTGGCAGGGGGCGAAACGGAGAGGGGGACTACGACAATACTAGGCTTGTACGGACGTCACTGTGCACTTGGATACTGATTGGTCTGCAGGATTATTGGTCAAAGTGAGCTACAGGAGGTTTCCATGGGGGGTTGGTTGTGGCTGGTGATGGTGTGGTGCTGGCGCGCGGGGGAGCGGGAGGCGGGTTCGTCACTCACCGGGTGCAGCATCCGATTCGCCGCAACCGATAAATTGACGATCGACAGATACGCACATCGACCATCTATTTGGCATTACAGAGACAGTGGATGCAGCCTGCCACTCACCTGAAACAGAAATCAGAAACATGCCGTGTTAGGTGACGAGCTGTGTTTCGCCGTGATGCGTTTCTTTTTTTTTTTTTTTGCCGACTCAGTCAATCAGTAGCTCTCCTCCTTTTCAAACAAGCAACAGAGCAAAAAGAAAAGGGAATCAAATCGTGTGTGTATGTTGCATAGTTTTAATTATTCCAGAAGATAATCGCGCGAGGAAGAAAGACGCAGCGCCAAAGAAAAAAACACCAATTAGGCGACTACGTTGTCGTAGAATTCTTAAGCATCGACCTAATCACGGTGGAAGATCTTTCGAAATACTCCCGGCCTTCTACGAACTCGATCATCTTCTCTAGCGTCTAGACATACGAAATTTGACTTTCGAAACGATTCTTAATATCTAAATATCAACTGCTCAATGTCTTCGAGCGATATATTTCTTTCAAAATTGACAAAATTAAGTATATATTTCGTGTAAAGAATAGTACTATGAAGAACACGTGATCGTCTACGCCAGACACTGATCATCAATATGAAAAAGTGTTCCCATACTTTTTTCAGCGGGCTCTTCTACGTCGATTTCCTTCCCAAAGGAAAAATAAAGATTTTCAACAAAATACCGAGCCATTAATTCGTAGGCGGGGGTGGCGAGTCGTCGGAGGGTGTTGCAGCCGGTTTCAAGGTTCTGCCGCCGCGTGGTCTATAGGTTCATACGTTGAACGTGTCGAAGACACGACGGTTTAGGGTCGTCCGGCCGCTGGTTCAGCTCCTTTTGTAATGGGATGAATGCACGTGGTGCCTTGTCCGGCCACACGCACGTTGAGCCCGAGCTTTCGCTGTGTCTGTATCTCGACGGGGATATCGATAGCCCGCGTTAAGAGCGAAAGGGGTTGGGTCGGTAAGGTCCTAGGGAGGAACGGGACACACCGGAGGCAGGCGCGCGTTGCCAATCCGCCGGCTGCCGGTTCCCCCTTTGGCCTTTTCTTCCGCGTGCCCTCGCCGCCCCTTTATCTTCCTTTTTATAACCAGTCGCTACTTTCCACCCACCGATTCTTTCTTACAATCCTTTGACGCTCGACTCGACTCCAGTCCCGGCGTACGCGGCGATTCGTGAAACTACCCCCTTTTCTTTCTTACCACTGTCACGTGTTCCATCTGTGCCTCTTTTCTCTTTCTCTGCTTGAACTCGATCGTCTTGGCTTGGCTACTAACTATAATATATTTCTTCTCTCGATTCGTGAAGTTGTCTCTTCATCTCTGTTATCACTATACCGCTTTCTGTTTGCGACTTCCTTCGAATTCGATCGCCTCGCACGAATAATGTGAGTAAATGATATGCCTAGCGAAAAAGTTGTTGACGCTTGCGGCTTCATGCGATCGCAACGATAATTCGCGCAGTCACGAGATGAGGAAGAGGAGAGAGAATCGCGATTGCACCAGCAAATGACTTCGATAAAGTTGTTTGCCCTGGCTGCGTCGGCCGTCGTGACAAAGGCGGATGAAGAAACGGAAAGGTGGAGAGGATGTTCCGCAGCACTTGGCAAGGTCGGCACATTTTACAGCCGCAAACTCGCGCCAACTGTTCAATCTATCCCGCTTATACGACCTGCTTCTTCTTTCGTTTCCCTCGGAATATCCCTCCACGGTCCGAATTCACCACGACGCTGGCTCCGGTTATTCCTTTCGATCCTATCGACCGATTCTTCTACCGTTTCAATAATTCTCTTCATATTCCTGCGTTTCACGAGCTAATAATCGCGATATAATTTCTCAGATTTAGAGGAAATTTTGCACGAACGTGTCTACAAAATGGTGTTCTAATGAATTCGAAGGTTCACGTTACAGGTAGTAATTTTGTAAAAAGGAACATTCTCGAACTCTCCTTCGAATTCTGAAGAAAATAAGGAAAAAGGAGATTGTATTTCTTGCCTAGTATTAAATACGATCTTATTACTTATACAAGGCTTGTTAATATAATGTTTCAAACTTGACCAATCATGCAACGATAATAAAATTTGACAACGTTTTAGATATTTGTAACACGCGTAATATATTGTTCAGATAAATCACGAGAAAATACATTTTGTATTTAATACTAGTATAAAATACGACGAAAGGGCAATAAATTTTCAATGTGCTTCACTGTGCTCCCATGAAGCAGAAAGAGTAACTTGTTACGTCTTTCGTCTGAAATCTTTATTCGATAAGAACAGAAACGGGAAAGATATCGGCGAGGAACGAAGAAACGGCGGGGGCTAAAATTATTCTAGGAATGCCCTAGTGAGAACATGCTTGTTTGTCCGCGGCTGTATTTCATTTTTGCCGTAAGTTTGCCTTTCGGCCTAGAGTCACTTCGCGTTCGCCCCGGCTGCGCAACGAGTTTAAAACGTACGTACATATATACACGGAGGCGTTGCTCCTTCGCGCATTTATCAGGATTTCCGAAGGAAGCCGGAGTTTTTAAGCCGCAATAAATTTCCGTTCCCGCGTGCCTTTGCGTCGCGCGAGTCTAACGTTGCTTAAAGCTCGCAAAAACCGAAAGCACGAATCCTGGACGCGAGACGACGACGACGACGATGCCAGTTTCGCCACGGCGTGCTTGAAAAGAGAGAATACAAGGGAGAGAGACTATTTGGAGGGAATTTGCCACGGACCGAGCTTTGGAATTTGAGTAACAGTGATTCGCGAACTCCTCTCTCGGTTAATTCGTAGAATCAGAGCAAACTACATGGAGCAAAAGATCACTCGATTCACAGGTCTTTTTTTTTTTTAATTTATAAGTAGAATTTGTAAAGATAATACATTTTGTTATGTTTGCAGGAGAGATAGATTTAATATTTGGAAATTGATAATTGTTGTTTGACAGTCAACTAATAGTTGAGCGTCAGTTTTTTTCAATTGTAATGTGAAATTGCATAAAATCGGCAGCGTAATAATTAAAATGGTACAAGATAATAGAGTAATAAAAGTAATAAATTAATTCTATCAAAATTAATAGATTCTTCTCTGTGGGTTCTCTTTCTTTTTTCAACAAATAATTCCTTTGTTACGAATAGCGAATACATTTATCGATGTATTTTCCTTCGGTTTCTACAATTCTATTTTTCTATTTATCATTCTCCTTTCTCCCAATTCACTCGCAACTAGATTCCATCATCTCAAATTCAACGGAGAAGCTCGCGTTAAAAAACTGATCCTCTATCCGTCTTCTCCGGGGAAACTTCTGATACGTCGAGTCATCGAGTCCTATATTTCACGGTCGTAAATCCAATCTCTCGGCCTCGTTTCCCAACGAGCATTTAAGAAATCCAAGCGCGCGAATCGGGAAAAAATAACCGAGGGTAATATCCACCGTGCAAGAACGGCACGACCATTAGAACAAGAGACACGCGAAAGGGTGTGCTAGGGTGCAAGAGAGAAAGAGAGAGAGAATGGAAGAGAAAAGGGATGGGGTTGAGCACGGAGCGGTTATTATCTATCGCTCTCGTTACCACAGGTTGCTCGTAAACCGGCCGCATCAAGAGGGTGGGGGCGTTTGGGTTGGAGAGCAGAAGCATAGGTAGGTAGATACCGGTACTCATATCGTTGTCGTCGTCCCGTACCCTCGTGCCACTACGGCTAAGCCCCGTTTTCTCCATCTCTCTCATACACACACACCCACACTCACACGCACAAATACATTCTTTCTCTCTCTCTCTCTCTCTCCCCCTTTCAGTCGTTCTATCGCTATTTTATTCGGTTATCCATGCAGGGTATCGCGCACAGTGCGAATGGACTGCTGCGTCAAGGGGGCACTTGAAAAATCTCCACTTACGAGTGCCTTTCCTTCCTTCCAAACGATCCACCATCGACGCCGATTGCTTTTTATCCCTTTTCTTTCGCTCTCTTGTCTCCAAGATGCACCGAGCAAGGGAGCTCTTTGTCTGAAGGAGATACTATCTAGTATCCTGTCTCCTTGCTCAAGGATCGCTCGGTCAAATGACTTCATCGCGCGACCAAAGACACCAGGTCTTCAGCCATTGGGGATTTTTCGTATATATTGAGAGATTTTCGGTGAAAGTTTGTTGCTTCTTCATTGATTCAAGTTCAGTTACTAATCTGTCCATTGTGTAACGAGACATCAAGTTACATCTGAGATTTTTGAGAGAGACAATTTTTCGTTGGTTCTAATCCAGCTCGCGCAGATATTGAAAATTAGTTAATTAACGATCTACTTTTCGTACAATGATTTTCGTTCAACCGTCAACTAGCATCTTTAGCCCAATGAATTATGATAACAGATACAAAAATAAAAACGATAGTGATTGTTTAATTTGGTAATCCAGTTTATTCGTCCATTGAAAGAACTGTTACGAAGAATCATATTTATTTGACGACAATAAACGTCAACCTGTATACGCACGACTGTACTTGCAGTCGAAAAAAGAATCGCGCCTTAACCTTCAACGCGGCGCGCGATCGAAAAAGGTGGAGGCAAACCTGTCCCCCTGGAACGATACAGCAACGCACCGGCGGCGTGTCGCCCCATAATTTCAATGCGTTCGCAGTCTATAAACGCGTAGGAAACACAATGATGATCGATATTTCAAGTCCGGGCGACGAGCGAGAGGACGCGAGTCGACGCTCCGTGCAGCGGCTGAGAGAGAAAAAGTGAAAGAGAGGGAGAGGGAGGGAGGGAGGGAGAGAGAGAGAGAGAGAGAGAGAGAGAGAGACTGCTAGGTCGGCGGATGGCGAGACGGCGCGGAGGAAGTTCGCAGAAGCATCGGGATTGAGATCGAGTCGCAAGTTTTTTATCAGGGCGACGTTGCACGAGCGCGAATTGCGCGTAACCCCCGCGGGGCAACAGCACGCTCGTCGCGACAGGGGGCAGCACCAACACCGTACCCGGACCCGACACTGCGTGGTGTGTAGTTGCTGCGAGCAGCCGCTGCACCAGGAACTCATAAATCTCCGGGGATATAGATGGCTCTAGTGTCGCGTGAGGTTGCAAGCTACCCCATGCAGGGTGCCATGGA